TTGAACTACCTACCAGTCCCCGTGCGTTTGTTCGGTCTCGATTCGCAGTTGACTGTAGAAACGACTTCTCCCCCGCAAAGCCGTTTGCCTAGAGATCATCTGGTTACTCTTTTGGACTTGATCTCCTTTCCAGCAATATCATCCCTTTCGGCTTCATCTGCGCCTTGAAATCAATATCAAAGTGGGACTCAGCTTGTCCTAATTTCCTGTCCGCAGCAACGTCGTTCAGGAGGTGGTGGTGATTCTGGACCCTACTCGTCTTGGACAGGTGTCTCGGTTGAAAGCACCACTTCTTTCCGAAAAAACAGAGATACCTCAAACCTGCGCCCCTTTTCGGAAGCGAGAGAGTCTTTTGGAAGTGACAGGAACTCGTTAATTTGACAAGGTTAGCCCTCCCCTCTTCCCCTTCGCCACTGCGCTGCCGGTGCCTTGCATCAGAATCACTCCCCTTTCGTGTCCCCTTTTGCCTTCCTCGACTCCTTGCTTCATCCAGGTCGTGCCTCTGGTGCACCAGGCCATTAGGAAAATTAGGATTCGTGTTAATTCAGCATGCGCTTGTCATAATTTCCCCGTGAACCTTGTGTGTTTGTTGTTGACATTGTTAGGGCGTAGGTCATTTCGTCAGTCGTTTCGGTGGACCTTAGATTTTGCATATTAGCTGCCAAGTTGCCTCAGTTGTGCCCTGGTTAGACCTTCTGTTGTTCTTTATCTCACTTGGTAAGTCTTACTAGTCTATGCAGAAAGCCGGTCCTCTTTACTTTACGAGGTTCGTGCTCACCAGTTGAGTAGTTCGTGGCCCGCCTGCAACCGAATCCCCTCTATGGTCAGCGATTCCAGGAAATCCTGAGACTTCGTTCGCTTAGAGAGAGATTAGACAAGCGAACAAAAAGAAACGAAAAACGCCTCCTCAATTTCTGGTCTGTTTGACAAAGATCGCTTGCCATCCGTGAGACCGTCTGACGGATATCTCACTATTGTCCCGTCGGGATTGACCATACTTGGAAAGTCAATATATCGCCTGCAAATGCACCCGCTGCTTTCATAGGGTGTTTCGGACCACTTTTCTCAGTAGCGTGGCCTGTCTTTGACGCCTATCCTGCTGCCAACCTTTGCTGGTTTCAGCCTTCGGTGTTGAATACTGGTCGTTGATTCGAAGCTGCGTCGTTACGCCTCTTCTTCTGGGGACTAACAGCCACTTCGTACCGTCACTCGTTTTGTCTCGGAGAGCTCCCTGTGGTGCCCTTCCGACATCCTATCGTTTTTCAGGATAAATTGCCTGTCATTCGCTTCTTTAGGCTGTTGTGTTCCGTTGCAGTTGCTGCAACATTTTCAAACTGGCTTACTCGAAGACACACGGTATTCTGGTAAGCCAAAGTCCCAAACTTCTGTTTCTCTCATTGCTGCCCAGCTGCCACTGCTCTCTTCTCTTTTCCCTTTTTTGATCCCGTCAGTTTCTCAATGTTGACTCAATTCTTGTTTCTCCGCGAACCTCCTTCGGATTGTGTGCTCTTTTTCCTCTTTCTTGTGCTGACCTCTTCGCTTTCGCAGTTCGACCCCGACTTCCAAACACCTCTGATTCTAGACGAGTCGCTGGATTTCTCGGATCCTGAAGAGTCACGATTTGCCGGCGCGTTTTCAGACGGCCTCCTGGCCAAGTCTGAACCCTTCCTGTCTATGTCGACTTTTCAGAAACCCCCGACAGCGGCCTTGCTAGGTAACTTTGTGCCCTCCTTCTTCCTTGAGCACTGCTGCTACATTGGCAAACGCAGACAGACGGACAGGCTGACTTTCTCAGATTACGAGTCTGCGCGATCTCTGCATAACGGTGCTTCCTATTCCACCTATGGCCAGACTCCTTATGTGACAGCCACCTCGCTCGTCCCATCCCCCATGGCTGATCAAGCCAGCCAAATTTCCGATTGTGGCCCATACTTGCCAAATCAAGAGTATGCTAGCTCTTACGAGGAGAGCCGGTCGCCCATGCTTGGTGCAGAGTCCCGTCAGCTGCCGGAGGTCATCTCATATAATCCCCAGAGAGGATCAGAAGGAACACGGGTATTTGTGCAAATTCAGTGCCCACATGATCTTCACTCATCTCCGTATGCGACTCTCTATCTTGTCTTCGGGTCAAAGAAGTGTGAATGTCTCCCACATTTCCTCGGCTTGCAGGGGTCGTCCTTTCAGTATGCTCTCTCCGTTGACACTCCCCCGTTCCTCGCCACGGGATCCCCATCTCTTGCAGTGCCTCTGCAAATCGTAATCGATAATCATCAAGGAGGCTCTGTCACCACGCTGCAAGTAGGCGTTTACACATATGAGCAGACCTCGCAAAACTCACCCTCCGATGAATCGCACAAGAGAAGGATTGCTTCCTATTCGGAGAATGTCGCTTACAGGCCAATCCGACGGGCTCCAGGACAGCCGGGATATGAAGATGGCCGTACGACCTCCTATTCACCCTACTTGCAGCCGCTTCCCGCGATGAACGGATTCTTGCCTCCATATCATGCGAATGCTTCGCCCAGGGCTGCGCCTGCGCAATATTCTGCTGGATCATCCGCATCACACTCGTCCATTCGAGCACCTTCTCCGCTCACCCCGGCGTGGAGCCCGTCAATCGTCAATGTGACTGGCGATTCAAGGGCCCCTGCCTACGCGATCGGTCACAGCTTGCGTCAACACAAATCATCTTCGCCGGCAAGGCCAGCTAACCCGACTCTTATTCGGACGTCGACCTTGCAGCAGGCGAATGGGTTAGGGCACGCGCAATCATTCAATCCGTATGCTATGTACCCATCAAAAGCCGTCCTCAAGCTGAACGGGGACCTGGACTCTATGACGGAGGGCTGGACAAAGGAAGAGCGCGAGGCCAAGCGGCGTCTGGTTCAATTCACTCGCATGCAAAACGGAAGCACGATCCACGCCGACTTCAAGCCTGTCTCCCCGGATGAGCGCGCCCCCAACAGTATTTGCATCAGCTGCATCTATTGGGAAGGCAAAGACGAATGCTTCGTGACAAGTGTGGACACCATCTACCTTCTTGAATCCCTTGTCGGTGTCCGTTTCACCGTGGAGGAGAAGAATCGCATCCGCAGAAATTTGGAGGGCTTCCGACCTCTCACCGTCTCCAAAGCCAAAGCAGACAGTGAAGACTTCTTCAAGGTTATTATGGGCTTCCCCGCCCCCAAACCTCGAAACATTGAGAAGGATGTGAAAGTCTTCCCTTGGAAAATCCTTAGCCATGCCCTCAAGAAGATCATTGGAAAATACGTAAGTACTTCCTTCAGAATTCCCTCGGCTATGGAGTCTTCGACTAACGCAGCGTGGCCCTAGTCTGCAAGTTACTCATCCACCGCTGGGGCGCTGCCAACGCCAATCAGTTCCGCCTTTGCTGGCAACGGAGCAGCGTCGGACTCGGGAACGGAGCCGTACGCTGCAGCTTCTCCCCAGTCAGTTTCCGACGCTGCTCCGTCCAGCAGCTACTGTCATAGCATTGCAACACCAGCCTACTCTCCCCCCGCTGGTTCCTCGGGCCCCCCCATGAACGGAACGTCTGAACTGCGAGCAGTGCTACCTGCTGTCACTCAACCGTATCATAGTATGGCATCGGGATACGCATATCCCGCTGTCTGCCAGCAGCAGGGCCAACTCTCACTCACAGCTCCTGTCAGTCGGCCGTCATGGGATCCCAATAGCCTTTCCCATCACCCTTCGGCAAGTGCGGCCCCCAGCTATAGCTATCTAGCTCCTTTGCCTTATTCATTACCCGACCCTTCCCACGGGTGTTGATTCACCACCTTGTCCCGCACTATGGCTCCATGAAATTTGGTCACTGGAGCATACAGGGGGCCCTTATATCCCTTCCCCCTACTGCATTTACCGGCGTTTTGGTCTGCTTTGTTTTTATATTCGGTTTTAGTTGTTTTCGTGCTGTTCTTGTGCGCGACAGTCCCGTTCCTGGTTCTTCTCGTCACTCCTTTGGTATTAGCCACGGCGCTTGGTTATGATCACTCGCAATGATCTCATGTCTCTCCTTGAATACTTTGACGTCTTAATGCCCGGAAATGTTCTTGTTCTCTGTTGATTCTCTGAGTTTCTCACATGGCATACGTTAGACGGTGTGTTGTACATTCCTTTTTCAGTTTGGGAACTTGTGCGGGCATTTTGATTCCACTCCTTGCGACGGTTGTACATTATATGGCATTGCACGGCGCTGCAGTCGTTCCTTTTGCATTTCGCAGGTCTGGAAAATTCGTGTTTTTGGGACGGATCTAATAATGGACAGCTCTGGCGAAGGGACACAAGAATCTCGTGGGTTTACTCAGGTTGAATTGTTCATTTTTTTTTCCTGTCTGCCGCCGCTCTGTGTATTTGGGCACTCTGGTTGAATATACAGGCATCGGCATACTCGTCCTTGTTTGGTTTTTGCGGGCATCTTGAGGCCGATGTTGGCACCTTGATTGTCCAGCTTATATGCATAGCTAGGCGTCTGGGACATTCTACTATTCCGGTTCTGGTAATTGATTCAGCTTCGCCGATTGTTTTAATTATAGCTATCCGAGAAGGATATTGGCAATAATTTAATTGTTTTTATTCGGCTTATTTTGTGCAAATTGGGGATAGAGTGCCTCAGGATGCTGTGGTTTAAGGCAATATCAACAATGTTAGTGTACGGTATGGTAACCGGGATACCACACGAGGGGCTTATCTTATCGGCGAGTCACCTGACCGGCGGGACATCGGCGCATCGGCGGGAAAAGAAAAGCGTGAGTCAACCAGGAACAGAACAGGACTGACTGAGCTGACAGTGAGACTTGCCTCCCTCTCCCTTCAATCCATTTCCTCTCAATCTCTCTCTTCATTCTCCCTCAATTCCCTCTCTATTGACATACGTTCTCTCACTCCCCTTCTACTGTCAATTCCTTTGATCCCTGACATTCTTCAAACTCTAAAATCCGCCCCTCACATTGAGCAGTTTCCCGCTCCCATTCACACACACCATGGAAGGAATCAAAAGCACTTTTGCCAGGTGCAAAGAGCAGAAGCGCGCAGCTCTCGTAGCGTACACCACAGCCGGCTACCCCACCGTCGAGGAGACAGTTGACATTCTCCTGGGGCTAGAGAATGGAGGCGCAGGTATGGTTACCTTTACCCCGCCGGCCACCCTCACATTCGCCTCCCGGACCATGAGGACTCAATGCTAACGCAATCCGTTGGATCTCGACAGATATCATCGAACTGGGTATTCCCTTCACAGATCCCATCGCTGATGGCCCCACCATTCAGAAGGCCAACACCCAGGCTCTGGCCAATGGCGTCACCGTCACCACAGTTCTGAACATGGTCCGTCAAGCTAGAAGCAGAGGCCTCAGGGCCCCGCTGCTTCTGATGGGCTACTATAACCCTGTCTTGCGGTATGGTGAGGAGCGTATGCTCAAGGACTGCAAGGAGGCTGGTGTCAATGGGTTCATCATGGTCGATCTTCCTCCCGAAGAGGCGGTGCGGTTCAGAGATTTGTGTGCTAGCAATGGGTAAGTATTGCGTCTGTGTGCGAGCCTCCGACAGGCGCGGGGTTCGATTCGGTGAATGTTGCTAACTTACTCTCATAGTCTGTCTTACGTCCCGCTCATCGCCCCTGCTACCTCCGAATCCCGTATGAAGCTGCTCTGCAAGATTGCCGATTCTTTCATCTACGTCGTTTCGAGAATGGGTGTCACCGGCGCGACGGGAAAGCTGAGCTCGAACCTACCCGAGCTCCTGAAGCGCGTTCACCAATGGTCGGGTAATGTGCCCGCTGCTCTGGGCTTCGGTGTCAGCACCCGTGAGCACTTCTTGAATGTGCAGGAACTCGCCGAGGGTGTTGTCATTGGAAGTCAGATTATCACCGTCCTGGGTCAGGCCCCTGCCGGTCAGGCGGCTAAGCACGCCGAGGAGTACTTGTCGAATGTCACTGGCCGCAAGCTCGAGAGAGATGCACAAGGTATCCTGACTAATGAGATCAACGTGTTGGAGGCCGTGGAGAAGGCCCAGGCACCGGCTGTCTCGCAGCCTACCGCTGTTGTTACCGAAGCCGATACTCCTGCCGGTCCTGGATTGGCCGACCAGATCGATGCTCTCAACGGAACGGGTAACCCCGCTGCTCAGCCATCGCGCTTCGGTGAGTTTGGTGGACAGTACGTCCCGGAGTCTCTCATGGACTGCTTGGCGGAGCTCGAGCGCGGTTTCCAAGAAGCTGTGAATGACCCCAAGTTCTGGGAGGAGTTCCGCTCTTACTACCCATACATGGGTAGACCCAGCAGCCTGCATCTGGCCAATCGCCTTACTGAGTATGTAGGAGGTGCCAACATTTGGCTCAAGCGTGAGGATCTCAACCATACTGGAAGTCACAAAATCAACAACGCTCTCGGCCAGATTCTCATCGCTCGGAGGCTGGGCAAGACCAGAATCATTGCTGAAACCGGTGCTGGACAACACGGTGTCGCCACGGCCACAGTATGTGCCAAGTTTGGCATGAAGTGTGTTGTGTACATGGGTGCTGAGGATGTCCGCCGTCAAGCCCTGAACGTCTTCCGGATGAAGCTTCTTGGAGCATCGGTCGTGGCCGTCGATGCCGGAAGCAGAACCCTGCGTGATGCCGTCAACGAGGCCCTTCGTGCCTGGGTTGTTGACCTGGACACCACTCACTACATTATCGGTTCCGCCATTGGGCCTCACCCCTTCCCCACCATCGTGCGTACCTTCCAGTCCGTCATCGGCGAGGAAACCAAGCAGCAAATGATGCAGGCCATCGGCAAACTCCCCGATGCCGTCGTCGCCTGTGTCGGCGGTGGCAGCAATGCCGTCGGCATGTTCTACCCCTTCGCCAAGGACACCAGCGTTAAGCTGGTCGGTGTCGAGGCTGGAGGCGACGGTATCGACACAAACAGACACTCGGCAACCTTGACTGGCGGCAGCAAGGGTGTGCTGCACGGTGTTCGCACCTACGTCCTCCAGGACGAACACGGCCAGATCTCCGAGACCCACTCCATCTCCGCCGGCCTGGACTACCCCGGTGTCGGCCCGGAACTCAGCTCCTGGAAGGACAGCGACCGCGCCCGCTTCATCGCAGCCACAGACGCCGAGGCCCTGATCGGCTTCCGCACCCTCGCGCAAACCGAGGGTATCATCCCCGCCCTGGAGTCCTCGCACGCCGTCTGGGGCGCCATGGAACTCGCCAAGTCCATGAAGACCGGCGACATCGTCCTGAACCTGAGCGGCAGAGGAGACAAGGACGTTCAGAGCGTCGCCGACGAACTACCCCGTCTGGGTCCCCAGATTGGCTGGGACCTGCGGTTCTAAGGTGTCTTCCCCTGTGTGGACTTTCAACTTAATTTGCTTATGAGCGACATTTCGGCACTTACGGTCTCCTTTGCCCCACCTTCTTCATATTTCTTTCGGTCTGCTTGAACTTAGGACGATGTAGTTTATATATAACATCGGCGATGAGAGAAGCTCGGTGATATTCATCCTCTTTCGGGGTTGCCTTTACCTCATGGAATTGCACATGTATCTAAAAGCTGGATCAAATAAATAGATTTTGCATGCTGATTGCACGCCACTGAGTAGTTTGTACCAACCACACACATTTAATCTATCTGGATATATCTTATTTCCAAGAGATTGACTTATACTTTGCGAACATACAGCTACATAACAGAAAAAAAGAGATATATGCAAGCTCTTAAGAACGAAAGCTTAACGACGCGAGCTGAAGACGACGAGATTTAGAAGAAAGAGACAAACACCTCCCCTCGGCGAGGACGAGCCACGCATACCTCGGCAAAGAGAAGGACAACACAACGATAACACACGCTTATACGAAAGATTTAGGTCTCGATGAGAGGAGCAGCGCCCACGTTCTCCGCGGAGTTGTCTCTTGTGTCCTTGGCTGGCAGCTTGCGGGCGGAGCGCGCGTAGAACTCGTCCAGAGTGCGCTTGGGGATACGGTTCAGCAGTTCTTTGGGGTAGATGCGGAGCAGGTTCCAGGCGATGTCGAGGGATTCGAAGATGGTCCGCGACTCGTAGGGCCCTTGGCTGATGAAGGTGCGCTCGAACTTGTCCAGGAACTCGAGGGAGAGCTTGTCCTCTGACGATAGGGCTTCCTCACCGACGACGGCTTTCATGGCGGCTGTGAATGAAGTGTCAGCGTGTGTTCAAATAATAATAGTGGATTTTGTGAAGGAAAACTGACCGGCATCTCGTCCAATGGCGTACTTGGCATACAGCTGGTTGGACACGTCGGAGTGGTCTTTACGGGTACGACCCTCGCCAATGGCAGATTTCATGAGACGTGATAGAGAAGGAAGGACGTTAATCGGCGGGTTGACACCCTTGTTGTACAGTTGACGATCGACGAAGATCTGTCCCTCGGTAATATAACCTGTCAAGTCGGGAATGGGGTGGGTGATATCTAGAGACACAGTCAGCACAATCTGCTAAGCGAACGCAAAAAAGAATCTGCTTACCATCGTTAGGCATGGTAAGGATAGGAATCTGAGTGATAGATCCATTACGGCCCTCAACACGACCGGCACGCTCGTAGATGGTCGACAAGTCAGTGTACATGTAACCGGGGTAACCACGACGACCGGGAACTTCTTCTCGGGCAGCGGAAACCTCTCGAAGGGCATCACAGTAGGCCGACAGATCAGTCATGATAACCAGGACGTGCTTCTCGAGCTGGTAGGCGTAGTACTCGGCAGTGGTCAAGGCAAGACGAGGAGTAATGATACGCTCGATTCTGGACAACAGTTAATCAAACACAGCAGACAACCGAAGTAGCTCAGGCAAACGTACGTAGGATCGTTGGCCAAGTTGAGGAAGAGGGTGACACGCTCCATACTGCCGTTCTCCTCAAAATCCCGGGTGAAGAAACGGGCCGTTTCCATGTTCACACCCATTGCAGCGAAAACGATCGAGAAATTCTCCTCATGCCCATCATGGACGTCCTTGGTGGGCTTCTTGACTAGACCGGCCTGCCGACAGATCTGAGCGGCAATCTCGTTGTGGGGAAGACCGGCCGCAGAGAAGATGGGAATCTTCTGACCTCTGGCAATTGAGTTCATCGTATCGATGGCGGAGATACCGGTGGAGATCATTTCCTCGGGGTAGACCTGGCGTTCCCACGCATTAGCTTCACCACCCTGCAAGTCCTGTCATTGCCGTTGACTGAGGGTCGAACACATACTCGCGAGTAGGGGTTAATAGGTTGACCGTTGATATCCAAATAATCCTCCGCCAGGACCTTGGGACCCTTGTCTATAGCACGACCTGATCCATCAAAGACACGACCCAGCATGTCCTCGGACACACCGAGCTTCAAGCTGTGGCCGGTAAACTCGACTTTGGTCTAGTATGACTGCAGTCAGCAGCTGATCCAGCTTCGACAAAACATCACTTGTATCATCCAGAGGTCAGATCTTTACCTTTTTAACATCGATACCCGAAGTACCCTCGAAAACCTATAGCAAGTCGCAAAACCATATGAGCACCCCGCATATCCAAAACCGAGCTTCGTAGCCTCGCATTATCGGGTTGATTCACACCTGTACAACTGCTCTGTTGCCTATTCATTCGACCCAAACATCAGCCGTCACGAACCTGACAGATGTATCGCTCTAATTTCCAGGAGTAAGTCTTACCTCTAGCTTCAAGGACTTGACCCGACCGCTCTGTCCCGTCGGGCAGAGTCAAAGAGACGATTTCATTGTAGCGGGGAAATTTGACCTTGTCACCGAATGTCAGCATGTCATTCCGTTCATGATGCAGATAGGTTTGCGTCAAAGCTGCGACCCAGGGCCAATTACGTACGTTATCAAGGAAGACCAGCGGACCGTTGATACCTCCGATGGTGTTGTAGCGGATGCGAGGCTTGATGTTGGTCATCCTCGGGTCGACGAATTCGGCCATGGCTGCAGGATCCTTGACGGACGACCGTTAAGCGCTGGAGGAAGCTATAAGAGAAGGGGATGAAAGGTCAGGAAGAGCTGCTCCTGACGAGGGGGCCAAGTTGTCGTCCGTAGTTGATCGATGAGGGATCCACGCCCGCAGCTCTAGCTTGGCGGTGACGCATGCACGTGATGCTCCTCCGCTCCGTCAGGATGATCTCTTTCGATACTGTTGATTAATTATATAGGACTATGGAGTTACTAGAAGAAGGATATTCTCGTCATTAATTATTAGATTTTTTTTTTAAAGGGCCCAGCCCGAGTGCGATGGTATCCTCATACTCTGACAGCATAAGGTTGGGGCACAAATAGAGAATGATGCTCGAAAGACAACAAGATAAAAGATAGCCAGCAAGAGCAAATTGCAGATGGAAAAATCATCCTTGCCCCCCATGATAGTAGATTATAATCATACAAATCAAGAAAAAAAACTCCACCATTATGGGAATATGAGAAAACGCCCGCCGTGCATTATGGCACCATGAAGACACAACCGTAGAAAGTATTGTGGAAGCCATGAAACTCGTTGCAATCTAGTCGACCTTGGCAAAAGCTAGCTTCTTTGGTGTTGCAAGATTGTTGGAAAGGCGAACATTGGTCTTCTTGTTCTTGGTCTGCTTTCGTAATTTCTTGCGTGCCACCATGACCGGGACAGATGAGTTCATGACCAAATAATTGGAGAACGATCCAAGGAGAACACTGTTCAAGCAACATTATATTAGCCTGATATATGCAGACTAGTCATCTCGAGCGGCTCACCCTTTCAGAGCGCTTCGGCCCCTAGCTCCCACAATAACAAGTGTAGGCTCGAGACCGTCGATCTAGCGGTAGACTGGTCAGTATATCTGGGCAAGCGTTGTTCGCGGGCTCATAAGCATCAGGACGAGTACGTACAGCTTCCGTGATCATGTGTTTCGGGCTCTTGCAATGAATCACCTCGACGGCAACTCGGACTTGCAAAAGAGTCTTTCTGAGCAAACGGACACAGGTTTGCGAAATAATCTCCACCGCACGGTTTCTCTCTTGTTGGCCTTTGGGCACACCCCGGGCATCGACAGAGCTTGGTTTACTGTCTGTGCCCTGTCCTAGACGACCCAACAACGCACGAGGCAAGTTACTGGTGATCGAATCATTCTGTGCCTTAAAGACAGTTTCGTCCGTCTGGGAACCAATGATTGCTGCCGAGTCCTGCATTGCTTGGGCGCCCTCTCCGATCTGTACCGACGACCCGAAGGGAATGCCCAGCTCCTCGTTAACTGCACAGACAGCAAACATGGTGTCTCCATCCCTGAGAATGGTGCCGATTGTCCACTCCAGGGCGTAAACGGACTCTTCGCTGAGGTCAGTGGCAACTAGATACTTGCGCTGCCGGCGACGTCCGCCCTCGCTCTCTTCCTGTAGTCGAGCAAAATCGCCTCGAATGATGGTCCTAATCGATCTGTTGGGGACTGAAGTGTCAATAGCGGACAGTTGCATGGTGAGTTTCTGAGCTCGCTTGATATCCGACAATTCCGCTTCGTCGTCGGATCCAAACGGCGTACTGAGGGCGGAGCCAGGATCGAAGCTCGTCCGAGGATGAACATCAAGCATATGCGGGCCCTGCTTTGCGGAGTGCACCAGAGTGGGCTTCTGATCCGAGAGAGACGTTACTTTCAGCTTCTCCTCAATCACCTGGTCGCCTGTGAAATGTTTGTCATTACGCGGAAGCTATAGAGCTCTCAATGATGCATTACATACGCTCATCCGCAGGACCATCTACCTGCCCTAGAGGAGACGCTTGATCGCTTGCATTCGGAGCCTTCTTTCGGCCACGCTCGATCTCACTATCGCTGTCTTCATCACTCGACGATGACTCATCGGGTTCATCTTCGCTGCTGTCCATCGGGTTGTTCTCGCTATCATACAAATCTTTGGCCAAGCGCTCATCCCCAGTGGACGATGTAGCAGTGTTAATGTCCGGTTCTGGAGATTCGCTCTCCTTAGGGGGCGAGGTCACACTGGTGCCATTGCCGACCGACTCCGGAAGGACGGGATCGGAATGATTGGGATGAGTGTTGTTCATGGGGGATGGTTTTTCCTTGACCATCGCCGGCTTGCCCGGCTTTGAGGATGAAAGGTTCAGCGGATTGGATCCGAGCCAGCGATTCTGGGAGCCGGACCGAGCACGTCGTTGGGGAACCCGAGAGTCGAGTGACGCCCCCCGGGACGAGCTCTGCCGCGAAGGCGTCCTTCCTCTGGCAAAACTTGGGAGGCTGACTTTCAAGTCAAATCCTGACATCATCGCAGCCATGGTGCTCTTGCTCTGCGATGGTTTGTGGTGGTGGTTGGGTTCCCTCGGAGGCTTCTCCGGCAACTGAATTTGTATAGTACGCTTCGGTAACACCGGCATCTCGTTATTGTCGAGTTTATTTCGGTCTACTATTTTTTTCTTTCCGATCGAGATTATATCCGAATTGTCCGAAGCCCTGCGAGCAGCAGACGGTTCTGATGATTCACCGGGAAATCTCTTCAAAGAAGCGTACGATGTTGCAGTACCTGGAGCCACAGAGCCCGACGGCGATGCTGATTCCGAAACAGGACCTGCCCAGCTGCGACGATTATTAGAAGGAGAAGTCACACCAACCCCAATACCGGCGATGGAGCCATGGCGCGGAGGCAATATATCAGGAGATGGAGCAGTGTCGAGCTGGCTCCGCACTGGGGCCGCTTGGGCTGGGGGCCTTCGGTTAGACGACGGGCCGGATTCGAGACGCTCATCTTCGACCCATTCAAGACGCTCCGACTCCAGAGCACCCGCCAGAGATGACCTGGCTCGTCTTTTCGTCCTGTTGTATGCGCTACTATTGTATGCGGCCATTCTGGGTGATTCCGCCCGCGGCGGTTTGACAGTCCCAAGTTAGATAATTGATAATATGCTTTATTGTTTGCAAGACTTGGCCAAGCGTCGAGGAATGTGGAGAGAGATCGACCAGTCAACGATGATTCGTCAGTTTCGCCTTCTCTGGCTGATGTATACGTATTCAAGTTCCGCATTCAGGACCAGAAGCTCTCTGCCTTTTCCAGTCCAAAAGTCGGAAGGCTGTGAGACCTTGACAGGCCAGCAAGTGTATTTGCTTGGCTGACAATGCTCTGGTCCGGCAGAAGAACCACAACACGGAAGGGAGCTGTAGACAAGAGGCGCGCGTTTTCTCCGCCCCTCAAATTCGAGAATAGATAGTGGTAACTAGAGAACTGCAGAGACTCGCAAGAGAGATTTGCGGAAACGAGCTGCAGTTCGAAAGGGGATGAATATCTTTTGTCCGTCTCAAACGCGGTAGGAATCACCCACGGCTTCTCCGCAAAACGCCAAGAGAGGGAGGGAGTCGAAAAGCGCCACAGGCAACAACCGCACCGAGGCTCGGATAGATCGAGCTGAATTAAACACGGAGGAATGTGGTTTATGAGATGGAAAAGATGCAGAAGCTTACAGGGGCCGAGGATGATACAAAAAGGGGTTGCCTTGAGAAATAGGGAGGAAAGACAAAAAGGTTCTGCCCGCTGTCACACACAGTCGGGCACAACGTCCAAAAGGCTCGGCATAGCGGGGCATGATATACAAAGCACATGAGGCTGAGGCAATTATTGCTCTGCCATTCAGAGGAAGAGAGAAGAGAGAAGAGCCATCATCTTCATTCTACAGATTATCCCTTGCATGATGTCACAAGGCTTGGTGATCATGGAGAAGACTAATCCATTGCTTGGGTGAAGTATTGTGAAGCCTAATTGCCTGAGGATAGCATTCCAAGCAGGTAATAATAAATAGTCTCTACCGCCACAATGTAGGCGATTATTATATGTCAGAATGGCTTCAGATTGAATCAATGCTATGTTCTTGAAAGCGTACAAAGCATACGGTGAGCATAGAATTTACCTGGCCTGTTTGTATTTACTTGTGTAGCCATTTGAGGCGGAAATTGCCGCTAATAATGCATCACATGCTGAATGCGGATCGAAAATGATCAACCATACATACAGGAGCAATCAAGGGGCGCCTGATAAAAAGCAAATACCGGGGGGTATGCTAAGGTCATATTGATGGCAAAACTCCGCAATGATCATGACAATAATGACCTAGCATTGTGTCCTGCTACATAAGTCATAGAAACACCAGGTACCTTCAGTTCGCTCAAATATGATAAGCAATATGATGTGCAATCCTTCCGTACGATGTCCACCTTCTTCCAAGGGTTCATGTAGAGACCTGCCAAGTACCAAAGACTCCTGACGCCGGTGGAAAAAGGACAAAAAATAAAAAGGGGAGATCCCAAGTGGACCGCTCACGCTTTCGACTTCTTTGTCTTCTTGGAAGACTGACGAGCAGCGGTGGCAGCAAATGCTTCCTCAGGCGGCTCCTCAAAAAGAGTCTTCCGTTTCGTGCGCTTGCCGTTGCCTCCCTTGACCGTCTCCGCCTCTGTCTGCCATTTTTCCATGAGCGATTCCATGCGATTGGCTTGTCGCTGTTTGATAGCTGCAGCGAGATCACCAAGGTCAGAGATGTCCTTCGTCTTTGCCTTCTTCTTCGTCGGCGCCTTTTCCTTGACCTCCGTCTTCGGTTTCTTCTTCTCCTCAAGCTCCTTGGCCAGTTCCTCAGCTTCCTTTGCTTCCTGTTGCGCCCGCTTGATTCTGGCCTGACGCTTCTTTGCCGGCTCATCTGTGTACTTCTTGTAACCCTCCACCTTGCCTTCGGCAATAGCCTTGTCAATAATGGCGCGGAATCGCTCGTCGTCATCGAGCACATTGCTCAGCATCACCGACTCGTAGACGCGGTCCATGTCGCCTCTGTGGCGGTCGAAGGCTTCCAGGATATCCTTCTCTTCTTCTGCAGAGCCCTGATACTCCTTCTTTAATTTGTCAATCGCATCCGTATCGATCGAGTTCGAATACAGGTCTCTGTAGAATTCTGTCCAGTCGAAATCTTCGTCGCCAGCGGCCGCTTCCGCAGTGCTGCCGGTGCGATCGAACCGCCTGCGCCGCTTTTCGTCCGACAAGATCGCATAAGCGAAGGCAATCTGCTGAAACTTGGAATGCGCTTTATCTTTCTGGTCGGCAGGAGCCTTGTCTTTGTCGATTTAATCAGTAACACAGTCAATCAACACCGGTTGTGTTTGTGCGGGAATCTCAAGGAAAATTACCTGGGTGATGCTTCAAGGCCAGCTTCCGGTAGGCAGACTTGATCTCGTCCTGAGTTGCATCCTCTTTGACACCGAGAACTTCGTAGAGATCAGTTACAACTGGAGGGCCAGATGGTTCGTCTTCTTCGTCGGAGGTGGTTCCTTCGTCGTGATTCTCTTCGAACACATCCTCGGAATCAGAAGGCATGTTTGCGGTGTTTACGGTAGTAAGTGTAGGGAAAGGAGATGGAAAGAAAAACTGGCAAGGTAGAGCCCAAGATGATGTTAGAGTCTCCAAAAGACCCCCAAAAAATTGGCGAAGAACAGATGAGAAGAGAGTCAAGCGGCTGTTGCTTTGATATGGGCGAGATGTTTGAGAGAAAACGCGACTTTACGCGACACAAAACCACTTTGGTTACCTTATCGGGTTAGGCTGGGGATAGCTTATCAACTTTCGTCATAGTTTCATTGTCGTTGGAGCTCCTGGACAGCAGACATCGTGACCTGCAGCTGTTCATTATTCTTGCTGCTCATTGTACATTTACCTACAATTGCATCTTCTTGTGAAACTTCACCTCCACTATCTCTCAAATCAAGTTGCCTTTCTCACAACCACCCCGCGAAATGACCGCATCCCCCCACCTCGACTACCTCCGCCAATGTCTCTCTCTAGCGGAAAGGTCGCCTCCACGCCCAACCAACTTCCGCGTCGGCGCGATCCTCGTCTCCCGCAGGGACGGCGACCTCGAATTCAAAGATGACCGCATCCTCTCAACAGGCTACACAATGGAGCTAGCGGGCAACACCCACGCCGAGCAATGCTGTCTCTCCAACTACGCAGCCGTCCACTCCGCCCCTGAGGACAAAATCGCAGAGGTCCTCCCCGCCGAACCCGGCAGGAAATTAGTCATGTATGTGACGATGGAGCCATGCGGGAAGCGACTGTCGGGGAATGTGCCGTGTGTGCAACGGATCATCAGCACGCGGGAGGGAGGGCGGCCAGGGATCCAGAAGGTGTATTTTGGGGTTAAGGAGCCTGGGACTTTTGTTGGGGAGTCGGAGGGATGTAAGATGATGACTGCGGCTGGGGTTAAGTGGAGGGTTGTTAATGGGTTGGAGAAGGAGATTCTGACGGTGGCTACGGCGGGGCATGAGAATAAGGAGGAGGAGATCAAGGCTGCGTTGGACCAGGTAGAGACTAATTTGGATGATATCAGTGATGAAGAAAGACAGAGGCAGGCGCAGATACCTCGAAATCCTAAAAAGCGTTGAGCCATTCTACTGTATTGGTGCGTCTGGATTAATGATATACTCGTTTGTGGAGCGCAGCAAAGTAAGTCATGTACAGGTACTCGATTTCATGGTCACGATGACACTGTCTTGATATGAGATGCAATGAACAGGAATGCGGGTATCTTCTTCACCAAAGATCTTAGACGAGGCTTTCACGCGATTCCGCGCACTGTATCTTGATCTCTGGTGAGCTCTATATATTGTTCCTGCATCAATCTGAAATACGGTGCAACTGTCTCAAACAGTCAAACTTCCAATGGTATACCAAGGTCGTATCAATAGCTCGGGACGATGCGACCAAAATCGATCATCTGACCCTGTCCTTCGTGTCTCCATCTGCTGATATATGCTGGCGTGGACCCGGCACCGCCGTTCTTCGTGGCATACGCACCAACAAGCGAGCCTATATCAAGATTGTCAGTACACAGCGATAGCACTTGCTCAAGTATCTCAAAGCTACACTTACCAGTAAACCGTCCCGTATCACCACTGACAATCAGCGCGTTGGCACGGCCGATGATTTTCTTCTGTGCAGGGTGCCGAGCCGGGGCAGCCGCAAAGACATACTCAGTGTCGCTCACGGCCTGGATCTCAAGCCGGATGGTCTGTCCATACCATTCCTTGGGAACAGGCACAGTGGCTCCCGGAAGAGGACCTTCGTAATTGCCACGCCCTTCAATGCGGAACCGGAAGGACAACGACAGTCCGTCGGTTGTCTGGAGAAGGACAATACCAAGATCGATGTGCTGCTGCTGGGTAAGGAAAACAGTAACACCAGCCTCTTCGTCGGCGACCTTGGGATCAAAGGACACATCCACAGTGTACGTGAACAAGGTGTCGGTCTGTTTGCGCATAACGAGTGACAGGCCATCATCCGGCTTGAAGTCTGCAGTTCCGGTGAGGTTGTAGAAGGAGGGTGTCAGCCGAAGAGTATTCGGATGGCCCCGAGGAGAGACCGTAAAATCCTCTGTCTTGGGATACCGCCAGTACTGGAAGTGCGCCGGGATCTTCGATCCGGGCCTGAAATCAACCTCGTCGGGTTGCTTTATCCATCCGCCCTCACCGCGAGGAAGTCGCTTGTTCGGTCGTGGAAACGGCCCCTGCATCTGGCCTCGCACAGGCTGGATGACGGGCCATTCGCCCTTCTTCCAAGCCGCAGGGGCGAGCACCGTCTCCCGACCCATGGGATAGTTCTTCCATTCTGGCCCTGACCGCGTGCTCAGGGCCACGGCCCACCAGTTGCCATTCCCATCCTGGAACAGGTCCGCATGGCCCACAGTCTGGAAGTATTCCGAGGTGCCCTTGTTCGACAAAAGCGGGTTGTGCGGGTATGGCTCCCAGGGCCCCGTCCGGGTCCTAGACCGTGCCATTGTCTCCGAGTGGCCGAGTTCTGTACCTCCCTCTGCAATCATGAGGTAGTAGTATCCGTCTCTCTTGTAAATGTGCGGGCCTTCAGGCCAGACTCCTCCGGTGCCGTTCCAGAGGTAGTCAACCGGGCCAATTGCTCCCGTCTTCAGATCGAGTGTATACTGCTTAATCATCTGGTCCTCGGCAGACGTGACATAGACCGTCCCATCGTCATCCCAGAAGATGTCCGGGTCGATGCCGTGTACAGCAAATTCAAGCGGATCGCTCCACGCGGCGTCATCGTACGGATCAGACGAGGTGAACAACAAGCCCTTAGTCTGCGGACCCAGGTACGAAACGATCAAGTAGAATTTACCCTCGTGGTAACGGAGAGTGGGCGCATAGATACCCGACTGCTGGCCATCCGTGACGCGAAGATCAGGAATTTGGCTCGGCCGATTGAAGATATTGCTTGCCAGTTTCCAGTTTTGCAAATCTCGGCTTGCATAAAGAGGAAGACCGGGAAAGGCAATGAACGTGGATGTGACGCAGAAGAAGGTGTCTTGCTCCGGTACGTAGGCACAGGTGGGATCCGAGTGCCAACCAGGGAAGAGAGGATTGGTATACGATTGATTAGGTGTGGGATAGGATAAGCTGGGAGCTGCCATTGCCAAGAGCAAACTGGCAGAGATCTTTGAAAGCAAACCCATAACGAGGAATATTGAGTATCAGTGACGATCCAGCTCCATTGCCCTGCTTGACGACCTTCCTCTGCTTCTGGACCCTATTTATATACCCCAGACATACAAATGCGGGGAAACTGAGCTATAACCGCTCGATTTCCATAACTGGCAAAACGGTGAAGTTGATTGCATAGCAGGGTACATATGTGATGCTGCATGCATTCCTTCAGAGCAGTCGATTCAGGCTAAATAGCATTGCATGGATAAACTCGTCCGGAGACTTTGCGATTCGTGATCAAGAATAAGATCTGCACTTGGTAGATATGTATGCCAAAATGGGGCCAGTAATGCTACATGACAGTGAATCTGAGAAAGACCGATTGGAGGACTTTCCCCATTGCCAATAATAAGTCCGAAAGCTATCAATTCATCGATGACCATCTACATAGGCTCATAGATGTCTTTGTGGGGATACTGCGCCAAGGCAGTTGGCTCCGGCTAAAGGGCATAGAGACAAGAGTGATGGAATATAGCGGATGGTCTAAATTGTGAACAGGAGAAATTGATTAATCGAGGACTAAGTAGCTCACAAAATCTAAGAAAAGAACACGATTGATCATGACAGATTTGCCTTCATGAACTCCGAGATATCCTTGACGGCCGGGTTGACGTATTTCTCGTTGTCATAAAAGTCCATATGGGCTGCATTCGGCACAATCACCTTCTTGGTGGCCCCTCCTATCTTCTTATCCAGGTTCTCCGTGTGCCAGAGAGAACCGGCCTTCTCACCCGCAATGAGGAGTGTGGGCTGCTTTAAGAACACATCCGCCAGGTGGAATGCGTCAAAAGTGAGGACACGCGGGAAGCTTCGAAAGAGCATCTTGTTCTCGGCACGGGGGTGCTGCGCGCGCGGTGTAAGGTAGTAGTCGTGTGCTTCTCTGAGATCTGCGGGAGTCTTGTCGTCTGGTTGAGGGGGCACATACGGCGCAGCAGCCATCTCAGCGCCCTTGTTTTCGGCTGAAATTTGCTGCGCAGCCATCTTGAGGGATTCGACGTGCTTAGAAGCAGGTTCGTCACCGTACCAGCCTAGTCGTGCGGAATCACCAATGTTGACCATACTGACTGTAGCGACGACTTTCAGACGGTAATCTGCTTTCGCAGCTGCGACGGCGTAGCCTCCGCCGGCACAAATGCCGAGGATACCGATCTTGTTGGCCTCAACGTATTCCTGCTGCTCGAGGTAGTCGACGACGCTCCACACGTCGCTGACTCTTGCCGCTGGGTCCTCCAGGAAGTGAGGTTCGCCTCCGCTCTCTCCTTGGTGAGAGGCATCGTACGAGACGGTGACAAAACCCTCTTCAGCGAGCTTCTTCGTATAGAGACCAGCCGTCTGCTCTTTGACGCCACCGCCAGGATGTACTATCACAATTGCAGGAAACTTGGCGGTGGACGAGGTTGCAGGCTTGTGCAGCAAGCCGGCGAGCTGAATTGGTCCTTTCTTGATCGATATGGACGACATGGCGAAGATTGGCTTGGGCTTGCAATATGAATAGGATGTATATTCCTGAGTGTTTTAGAATTAATCCCTGCAGTGATTCACTGCTTTATATATTGTCAATCCATGATGTCGAGTTATATTGAAAATTCCGATTATTTTCGGATGCAGGCTAGCATTTCGGGGTCGAATCCGCTGAATGGATAGCGACGTCAAGACAGACGTCCGAAGCATATCGGTCTACATTTCGAAACGGAGATTGGAGATATAGACACTCTGATTACTGTAAGTCAGTTATGTCCGAGATGACTTGAGAATGTGTTGCCAAAGTTGTTGAGTGACAGATCGGAATTGATCTTTCTCACCAGTTGATAGAGAGAGCTAATCATGTGCAAACTGTCCCTCCAGCGACGCAGCTCTCTATGGACTGCGCAACTGCACTACACTCTGTTCATATCACCCTACAATATAGTATAAATTTCACTCGCGTGCCGAATCATTTATCTTGTCAAAAGGTGCTCAACAGATCATCCACAATGCATAGCAAAGCAGTACCGCCTCATGTAGCACATTTTGCCGCGCTTCAAGCACGACAGTGTCCCGTGGCGCAGTCTGCTATCAGTAGGATTATCTGAAGGTTGCGGGTTCGACCCCCGCCGGGAGTGGCACATTATTGTTGTTAGCTCCCGTGGCGCAATGGTAGCGCGTCAGACTTCTATGCTTGGGCCTGTCATCTCTCTTCTTTTTTTGCTTTTTTGCCAAATTTTATATGTCCTATTTCTCAGCAAAATACCATACTATCTGCTATTTTTATTGCCGGCTGCGCTCCTGCAACCCGAGAATCAATCGACAGTTCTCATAGTTCGATCCTCACGTGACCAACGCGCATCGGAAAATGCAGTCCCTCTGATGTTGCTCTCTTCTTGACATCTCACAGCAATATCATCCGATATATTGCTTAGAAAGATGATCCTATGGCGACAGCTGAGAATGACAATCTCACATTTTACCCGGCATTCTGCTTCAGGGCATCCCCGACCCATTTCACCTGGGTAAAAATGGCAGCGGCGGATGTGCATCGACTCAAGAAACGGCCGGGATTTGAAGGTATGCCAGCGTACTTGTCTAGATATTCATTACTTGGTGCTTTTCCGGATGCTGCTCCCCGCTTTTGGTATTCTGCTTCATTTTCTTCTTTGTTTTGTGCACACAGTAGTCTATGTTAGTATTTGCTACTACGGTACTACCTGGTTGTCACCATCACAAATGGCTTAGATACATTATATACATGCATAGCAGCCAGCCTATTCAAACATGGCGCAGACTAGACGGAAAGTAGCAACTCTAACGAACACCCAGGCCAAAACATCTTCTTCTACCTCAACCACCCCATCCGCTTCGTGTCCCTGGTGGGCATCATCGTCGCCAGAACTGACGTTTACAAACGCACAATCCTCACACTGGACGACAGCAGCGGCGAGACTATCGAAATCGCCGTCTTGAAAGCCGAATCCTCAGAGCTGGACTCTGCAGAGCGGCCTGCGCACCGACAGCAACAGCCGCCGGAAAAGGTCGCACGCCATGTTGCAGCAACAAACAGTACCGACCTGGACATATCACCCCTCGTCCCGGGGGCTGTGGTGCAGGTCAAAGGCACGCTGACGGAGTTTCGAGATACGATGCAGCTACAGCTAGAGCGCTTCTTCCTGATCCGGGACACGGCCGCCGAAATGCGCTTCGTGGATCAGCGCAGCCGGTACCTGGTTGAGGTGCTGACTGTCCCGTGGGAATTGACGGGCGAGGAGGTCGAGCGGTTGCGGCTTGAGGCCGAGGCGGAGGAGGAGCAGGCTGAGGAGGAGCAGGAGCGAGCGCGTAGGAGGCATAGGAAGCGTGCGGAGCGCGAGGAGAAGGACCAGCGTCGGATTCAGAAGATGTGGGAACGTGAGGAGCAGTTTAGGGAGAAGGAGGCAGCTCTGTGTCAGGAAGCTGGGCGCAGGGCCATGCGCGCTATTCAGCGCAAGCGCGTCATGAATATAAGCAGTGAAATGTGAGAGCGAGTATTTCTATATAGAACACGCGCTGTTTCGGACAGGGCACATGTACGCTTATCAGAAACGACGATTCATAGATTACCACCCGTCCCGGACATTTTTATCAAGTCTCTTTTTTCAAAGGCGACAAACACATTATACACACACAAAGTCCGAAATCCAATGCATATCAGCAGATCGTTACACGTAAGTCATGAGTTGGAAAGAATGAAAGCCACAAACAAACACTATCATGTCATATCTAACAAAGGTATCTTAGAGGACTGGAAAACGCCGAGATAGTAATGAGTCTGTCTTTGAACAAAGACAATATGCCTCAAGTCCATCATTTGTAGGTATATGTCTTGTAATCGTACCCGCCACCGCTGCCACTGACTGGGCCACCACCCTGACCGCCGAGCAAGCCACGGTAGTATTCTTCCTCGTTAGCCCAGCTGCTTCGGGAAGGAAGATGGTCGTGATATTTGCTCTTTTCGCGCTCCTTTTCCCTCTCCCGAACGGACTCGTACAGCCTCGGGTCATCACTCTCGCGGTACCGCCGACTATCTTCGACGATATCTCCAGGAAGAGTGGATGACGCGGTGTAGTAATCATTGCCAGAGAGGCCAGAATACCGAGCTCCACCGTTGTATGAGCCGGACAGCAGGTCACTCTCTGAATGTCTGTAGTCACCTCCTCCATGTCCACCTCGAGAAGAGCTCCGTGTCCGGCCATGTGTACTTATTGGGCGCTGCGATCCGGAACTGCCTGCACGAGGGTACAGAGGGTCCTGGCCGTATGAGTCATATGCTTTGCGGGAGACAGGAGGGACCGATCCCTCTTTGGAGCGAGACCCAGTGGAGAAGGAGTCCTTGTGTCGGTGGGAAGAGCCACCTGCCTCTTCATATACCTTCCCTCCTCCCGGCTGCGCACTATATGGCTTCCTCTCACGCTCAATCGGCCGAGGTGGAACTCCTTCCTCGTCGTCATCTATTATGGCTGAAGACGACTGGTGTTGCTGCTGCTGCTGCTGACGGCCTCGTTCTGTCACCGAAGGAGCTGTCTCAGCGGCCGATGCAGTTGAGCTTGTAGACATCTTATGGCGGTGCGCAGCAACCTTCTTGAGCTCCTCCTCAGTGACCGGAGGCAAGTCGACACCACAATGCTTCGCGATGAATTTATCGAGCTCATCTCTAACAGTAAGATTCGGTGCCTCAGGGAATAGCCGGCGAGGAATCTCCTTTGGAAACCTTTCTCGCCTGTCATCTGGGTTGCTGATAGGCATGTTCAGGACTGCCTTCTGCAACCGTTCGTATTCTTTGTCGGGGTGCGCTTGAATCATCAAGGTAGCCCAGCGCTCGAAACCTCGGGGCGTCAAGCCCGGGATATCTGGCCGTTCGTTCAGTTTCGCCTGAACAAGATGATGTTCGGCTTCCACTTCACGGAACAACCTCGAGATTGAAGACGTGCGGTCATCGAAGATATCTAGAGATACTTGGATTAGATTTGAGTCCCAGATAGGACAGCATGGCACTTACCTTGCCACGGGTAGAGGTCTGAAGGAATTTTCGTATCCTCGTAGAACTTCTGCAGTTTTTCTGGAATGACCACGATAGTGTTACCTGGAGGGTAGTCCTCGATCTTGCACACTGTCAGATTTGGAATTCCTCCAACCAACGGCATCCATGCTTACCAGATGGACTGCTATGCCGCGCAAGAGCTGGCCTAGTCTCTTGGTTGGCTTGCCTTCCTCAAAGAGCTTGCCCCATATCTTCTCCAATGTGGTCATCTCAGTTACGGTTGTTTCCCTCGACGGTGGTTTTGGGCGTGCTTCCATTTTCTGGCCTTGATCGCTTGCCTGGCTATACGGCGACTCCCTTCTCTCGATTGGAGGTACGGGGGAAGGCCGTGCACTAGGTTGAGCGCTGCTCGGAAATGTACCGGTTTGGGAGTACTGCTGGTAGTCGGGAGTGTCGGTGGCTGCAACCGATTGCGACGAAGATGGCTTTGGTGGTACAGGAGGGGCCGATTCATACTCATTATAATTGTAATTGGGAGCAGAGCTGGGAGGCGGAGGCACCCACTGTGACGGCGCGGGACCGGATGGCGGCTGTGGCGATGGTTGCTGCGACTGAGGTGGATGCTGAGCCTGGACGTTATCCAGACCAGTTGCTTTGAGCTGTTGAATCACGGTCGCAGTGATTTGGGACAGGACTTCTGGCGATAGATAGGTGGGCGTGTCAGCCTTATGGAAAGCCGAGCTGACAGCCTCATTGATAGTTCCAGTGGATGGCTGCTGATACCATGAGTATTGCTGAGGTGACTCCGTATATTGGCCTTGAGCTGACGACGGAGCCGCCGGAGGCACTTGGGGCTGCGGCATGTTCAACCGATCAGGGCCGTACTGGGAAGGATAAGGAGGAGGGAAGGTCGAAGAACGATAATCACCGGACTTTGTTTGGCCTATATTGCCCGCCTGGTCGTACGGACTCGAGCTTCTCTGGAAGCCATCGTAAGCCATGCAGACTGTCGCAGTCACACAGACAAGTTAGTCACCGTCCACCCTCTGCAAGTGGCACAATTTTCACTAAGCCTGAGCCACACTCTGAGATGAAGGAAAGCGGGAGAATTCTATTGGTGATACCAGTAAATGATGAAGCTCTTGATGTGGTATGCGCGGCGTGGGACGGAAAATGAGAGAAAGGTAAGGTATCTGCGCAGGTGAAATGAGATGAGGGGCGCAAGACGGAGGGGCTCAGAAAGTGTGGATCTTCGCTTTGAAACAGTACGTGCGTCGTGTCAGGTCGCCAACAAGATGGATGCTATTATGAAGGCAGTTCTGTAAATAATATCTGCCCGCGCGCAATGGAAATCAAAAGAAAAAGAAGATCATCGATGGAGACATGCAGCGACGTTGACTTGCGAGGCTAATGTCAGCCTCCACCACGGGGCCATACGTCACCGCCCGAGTGCCGCTGCAGAAGAGGGGAAGGT